CTTTTTATATTTAAGTAGTTCCTGTAAAAGACAGTTTTTTCCAAGAGTGTCTAAACTTTCAACTTACTAGGGAAAGAAGATAAACCATCTTGGATTGACCTTTACAAATTATTCAGGAAAAAAATGATTTCAAATTAGCTTTATTATATTGTAAATAATGGTGTTTCCTTAGTGTGTGCTCCACCTAGTGTCTTATGACACATCTAGTATGCTGTACCATAGAACATTTTTAAATGAGTCCAGGATCAAGTAAGTTTGACAAATAATTTTCATTTTCATTTCTCCTGCTGCAGATTCATTACATACATTAGTATATTGAAGTTTCATGAAGTATTGATGTTAAAAAGAAAAATCATTTTTCCTTCCTAGAGCTTCTCAAATTTTAGTTAACTATAAAATTCTTTCAGAAAATCTATTAATATCTCTAAGTACAGCATAATGTGATTTATTTTACAAATCAGTAGTATTTATGCCAGGGTACACATGCTTCCAGATACCTAAAGACAATCAGGGCAGAATAAAGGCAAGCAAAGCTAATAATAATGAACTTGTAGACCATTAACTTCCATGTGAAGTTTCTGATGCTTAATTCCCTTTAAAAAAAAAAATGAGCCTGTAGATAATCATGCCTAGTCTTATTTCCTTTACCCCTCCCTTCACAATCACCTAACAACAACAAAAAAGAAAAAAAAAAGGCATTTTTCCAGCCAGTGTAGAATTTTACTACAATGAAATGCTTCAAGGAATGAAATCTCTTGGGTGCCAGAGACAGTAAGTAAATAAAGCTCATTTTAAGACTAAGGGCTTGGAATTATTAGGTAAGGCTGAGCTTTCACAGGAGGGACTGGTCAGTGCTCTGCTTCAAAAACTACTCACAGAAATGTAGGCACTAAGAATGCAGCCCATTGGTAAAATGCTTGCCTAACATGCACAGTGAGGAAAACTTAATTTACTAGTATGTTGTTCTCTAAAACTAACCATTAGTGATAGATCACTATGACTTTTAAATATATAACAAGTTCAAAACTTGAACAAAAATTTTTCCCATTCCCATCTCAGTACTTATACCTGTATAATTGAAAAGTCAGACTGTAGCAATGCCTGGATAAATACAAAGTCAGACTGTAGCAATCCAAATAAATTCTCAGCCAAGCATATGTGAACTGAGAAAAGTCTCCTTAATAACAGATGTGTGGGCAATAACTTTATCAATGTGTATTTTAAAGTTATACTTTAAATATATCATTTTGTAACTAGCTAATAATCTAGTATGATCAGTAACATAACAAGTGGGAAAATGTTAGATTAAAATTGTGATAGAGCAGCCGGGCGTGGTGGCGCACGCCTTTAATCCCAGCACTCGGGAGGCAGAGCCAGGCGGATCTTTGTGAGTTCGAGGCCAGCCTGGGCTACCAAGTGAGTTCCAGG